TTGGCCTGCTGTGTTCATCCAGCTCTACACCTTGTTATCTCAGATCCTCCAGCATCTGCAGTTCCTCACTCCAGATGAATGTGTGTAAAGAATAACAGGGAAGGAATCACCTTCAGCTCATCACAAAAAATAAAGTAATCAGTAATAACACAGGATAAGATCTTGTTGGAATCAGATTCTAGCTTTTGGTGAGTAATTTTGCTGCTTACAATTTCTGACTAGACTGCAAGTTCGCATCCTACCATTTACTTCTGACCTTCAAATATACCAATTGCCTGGAAGCTAAGCACCATTTGATTTTTATTCATATCCCTATTTATAATTTATTTATTTCCTGTATTTTTTCATTCTCACTGTGTGTAAGTGTTGCCATCGAGTTAAATTTCTGATTAGGTCATCCAGAAACCACAACGTAAGGTTCAATGATGGAGTCATTACTTCTTAAGCTTCTTGCTATTATCAATCAATTTTTGTCATTTACAAAATAATTCATCTTCACTCCCCACACTGTCTTTACCCTGCTCTATTCTGTTTTGCAAATGCTAGTAACTTAATGGCCTTTGTACTTACTCTGGATGCATTTCCAATCTTTTCCTTATGTTGGACATTGTAAAGTAGATTTGTTATGATTAGCACAACTTTAACATCAGTATTAAACAATTTACTTTAAACTGGATCATACACCAGACACAGACTGAGGGATCTGAAAAGTTTTTGGGTAACATATAGGCTGTTTTTTTCTCTACTGTATTTGCTCAGTAGGGGTTTTACATTTGGGGCTTCCCATAGTTCAATCACAGAGAAGGGACACTCCTCCCCCCACCTTGCTTGCAATCCAATAACCAATTCCCCACAGCAACCCACATAATATAAGTTATACATTTCTAAAATTTTAAGTAACCCTTTGATGCTTTGATTTGTATTTAAAGGAAGAATACTCACAGTTTCCCTGAACGGTCGGATTTCACAATTATTGAGTGCTTTTGGGTTCAGCACGTGGCACTTTGTCTCTCGAATATCAATTTCCAAATAATGGATAGTAGTCCCATTTGCCTATAAAGGAAATAGTTGTTAAGTGTTTAACATGGAATCAGGATGTTAAAATGTTCTCAGAATACAGTGCATTGTGGAATAATTGACTGTGGGAGAGTACAGGTACTCATGCAATTTAATTAGTTCAAGAACATTGATAATATTATAGTTCAGATACTTCACTTAACATTGCATCATTTTATGAGCGGCTCACTCACTTTTCCCTCATATCAGCTGTTTTGTTTTTATCGCTAAATGATCAGCGACCCTACCTAAACTCATGCCTTGCTATGAAACAAAAGCACACTGTGCTCTGTACCGCAGATCTAAGAGATAGGTGGGAACCTGTCTGTCAGTTAACAGACTCAGAGTACGTATTTAAAAAGCAGGCTGGAAACAACAGCAGCTGGTTGATGCTGAGACTTGGTTGTTTGAATTAGCAGCAAGATCATTTTAGGCTCCAGTAGAAAGAAAGCATTCATCACAGACTAACAGCAAGGTCTCCATTGTGCAGCAGCTCAATGTGTGTCACCAAATCTGCTTCTCTGAGTGACGGAAAACTTTGATGAAGTAAGAAATTAGAAAGTAGATAGCTCAAAATGACACTGTCACCCATGGTAGCCATGGTTGAAACAAACATTGATGCAAGGACAGAAATGTTTCAGCAAGATTTTTTTGCACAGAAAATTAAACTTTGAATTGAAACTCATACATAGGACAGCAATGAAGACCGGGGGGTTCAGGCCAGTACATTGCTACGTGCTAGAGACTTCCACTCTGCCTTCTGAGTATTGACCTTTCCCACCTCCTCCACTAGGGCTTAAAGTATCTGGTTAACACTAGTTGGAAGCTGAAATTGTTCAAATCAACGGGAGTGAAACATTGGTGTACTGCTAACATTGCAATGAAGAGGAACAGAATAATTGTGCATCATGATCCTTACGCCCATTTACAGGGTATTTAGCCTGACCGACTCCTGTCTGCCACAGTGTTACTTCTGTGTCGATTTGAGGATGGCTGTTTGACCCCTAGAGTCGTTAACTTATAGAAAGCAGTGGAATAACACCTGGAAGAAGAGTCCACCATGGAGGAAGACTACTCTCCCAACCAGGTAAGTGGGATCTGGGGACTCTGGCAAGCCCTATCAAGGACGAGGGTGTAGGTGAGGGCTGGCCATGTTGTTTTTGCAGGGGACTGCTCACCGCTAAGAGGCCTACTGAGAGGGTACCAAGATGTATCTGTTGATCTACCTTTGGAATAGTAAGCCAGCCTGAAAATGATGAAACTCCAGCCATGATTTCTGGTGGAGGAGAACCTGGTGACAGGAAGATGACAGATACACCACCAGAAGCTCAGCACTCCCCCACGAGTACTGCCGCGCACCCCACCCCCCAACTTTAGCCCAGTCCATCACCAACAGTGCAGGTAAAATTCAGCCGCCTGTTTGAGTAATTTGGCACCGTCCTGCATCTTGTGACAGAGTGGGTTGAAATTGGAGGCCCATCCTGTCTGAATAAAAATAACTAGCCGTGACCATAAAATGACGTGGTAGAACTCACTGCACAGCTTCCCCAACGGTTATCTCTGGACTACTGGGATCTTCCGAATTGATGGCTCCAGTCAGCCATCTGCAGACAGTGCATTGTTAATTTAAATCTTAAAATCAGTGGTTCATTCTGTCAAGAGCAAGATTTTAGGTCTGAACTGGCTGAAGCGTGACATGCACCCTCCACTTCAGCTGATGACTGGAGCCAAGAGGAACCAAAGGATATGTTCCACTCTATTTCTGTGCAATGGGAGGATCAGCAGTGCTCTCTAACTCTTTGCAAAATCAATTTAGATTTCTCCCCAGACAGAGGAGCCAGTAAAGGCCATGCATGTCACTGACAGTTCTGAATCACTGTGTATACTTTAAAATAGCTCCAGTGCACCCATTCCATCCACTTCCATGTATTCCAGCTATTTTCTTAAAAAATATTCCCTATGGCTCTGGTCTCACAAAGTCTTCACCCACTCCCACCCTCTCTCTACCCAGTTCTGAAGTGTATCCTGTCTCAGTGTGTCAGAGAACCAGCATTTCTGCCTGATAAAACAGTGTTCAATTCTTGACTTTGTAACATCAGTCAATCAACCATGTTTGCTTTCATACATACCTTCTTCATTTCCTGTGCATTTTCTATTCTGTCCAGGCTAAACTTGTATCCATGCTTCCGTTCTTTATTGATGTGATCAACTGTCAGTTCTGCCAAAGCTAGCACTCCCTGACCATTGCATGGTACTGCAACATAACTGTCTAACGCTGTAGTCCAAGATGTAAACAGTTGCAGGCAGACTGCTAAAGCAAAAAATAACTTCATGTCGTTTGGGAAGCGACACTGGCAATTTTAAATTCTGACGCTCCTAACCAAGTCTAATGCAGCATAGACGACTGGTCACGCAGCAAGGAACAGACAGAACTGACAGTGAAAATTCATACCACAGACTGCTTTAAATCCTCTAGGTCTGGGAAGGTATCAGTGTAAAAATGTCACATGGCCCAAAATAAACAATTGCAAAATGGCAATACCGATTGTGAAATCAAAGATAAGATCAGTCTTGTTAGAATCAGAACAAATGTTGCAATGAAGGCCATTCTGACTAGAGGAAAATTACAAAATTACAGCAAGTGCCCACACAGTTCATTGATGCAACTAAACATCTAAAACATTGAAGAAATATTTCTTCAATATCCTCCAGTTATTTACCTTCAAACTTTCCATCCCGAATTTAAAAATAATTCTTTTCTCTTTAGTTTTCCTCAGTGCCAGACAAATGACTGAAATTTTTCAGTTAGGGGCAAAATGAGAGTATTCATGTTCGCCATGAGGAAAGCTGCCCACAAAGATTAGTGATCCCAGCGACATGAATTTTCCCTTTCCTGATGTCAATTTGAACCAACACTATGTCCAGGGGATCTCCAGATGTTAGCAACATTGATGTAATTAAGCAGAGAGCAGGATAAGCAATTACGTAGAAGAATTCTTACAGACTGCAAACCAGCAATACTAACTCAAAAACAGAAGTTGCTGGAAAAGCTCAGCATGTCTGGCAGCATCTGCGAAGAAAAAATATTCAGAGTTAGCGTTTCGGGTCTGGTGACTCTTCCCGAGTTTTGAGGAAGGGTCACTGGACCTGAAATGTTCACTCTGATTTTTTCTTCACAGATGCTGCCAAACCTGCTGAGCTTTTCCAGCAATTTCTGTTTTTGTTTCTGATTTACAGCTTCTGCAGTTCTTTCAGATTTTATTCAGCAATACTGACTATCCTACATACTTTGTAAATTTAATAAGAAAAGTTAAAACATACACATCGTAAGCTGATATATAATAAACCATGTTTAAAAATGTTTCTACTATATTAAACATCATGAAAACTTTGGTTTTACAAGTAAGAAATTAGTTTTCCAGGGCTATAGTGCTTTTTCAGCAGTAGTTATGACTTAATAGGCTGTTAAAATCCAATTATATTTCATTAACAAGTTGGAACTTTGCTAGATATTGACAGTGATACTATGTGGAAAAGGAAAAGTTCTCAGAAGTTTGTGAATTTGAATTGACTGTGATTTGTTGGGACTTCTGTGTGCACTCTATAGAAAAACGTTGGGTGGAATTCAACATAGCCTGCATGGGGGCTGGCCTCCACAGTAAACTCTCACTTCCTGGAACATCAGAGATCCCAAAGTAATATTAGATTGCATTAACGAGAATGTCACAGCTGCACTAAGAGAGGACATCTTGGAGGGTTCATCCAGTGAGGCCATATGGGTAAAACTCAGAAATAAGAAAAGTGCAATGACCATAATGGGATTATACAATTGGCCTCCCAATAGCTAGTGGGTGGTAGAAGAACAGATATGTAGACAGATCTTTGAAAGTTGTAAAAACAACAGTGTTGTTTTAGTGGGTGATTTTAATTTCCCCAATATTAACTGGGACTCTCTTGGTGCCAGAGGCTTAGTGGGGTAGAACTTGTGAGGTACATCTTCTTATAACATGTAGAATGTCGATCTATGGGAGGGGCCATACTTGACCTTGTACTAGGTATGACCCTGGCCAGGTTATCAATGTTTCAGTGAGCGAGCATTTTGGGAAAAGTGATCATAATTCCAAAAGTTTTAAGGTAGTTGTGGATAAGGATAAGACTGATCCTCAGGTGAAAGTGAAGTTTTAAATTGGAGGAAGGCTAATTACAACAGTGTTAGGCAGGACCTGGAGAAAATAGATTGGAGTGGCTGTTTGAGGGTAAATCAACATTTGACATGTAGGAGTATTCTAAAAGGCCAGAGTCTATAGATGTGAAGCTGGAAAAGCACAGCAGGTCAGACATCATCAGAGGAGCTGGAAAGTCAACGTTTTGGGCCGAAACCCTTTGTCAGGACTTGGGAGGGGGAGGGGAGCCCAGAAATAAATAGAGGGAGGTGGGTGGGACTGGAGGAAGGGTAGCAGAAATGGTGATAGGTGGATTCAGGTAGGGGGTTATTGTGCTTGGTCGGTGGGAAGTGTGGAGGGGACAAGTGAGCAGGAAGATAGACAGGTTAAGTCAGGTCAGGAGGAGGAGGCCTGGACATGGGAAAAGGCTGGAGGGGGGTGGAGGGATTTTGAAGTTGGTGAAGCCAATGTTAAGGCCATTGGGTTGTAAGCTTCGAAGGCAAAATATCAGGTGTTGTTCCTCTAGTTTACATTTGGCCTCACTCTGACAGCCAAGAATGGACATGTCATCAAAGGAGTTGGAGGGGGAAGTAAAATGGATGGCAACCAGAAGATCGGGTTGGTTGATGTTTGCAGAGCACAGATGCTCTGCGAGCCAGTCCCTGACTCTGTGTTTGGTCTCCCCGATATAGAGGAGACCACACTGGGAGCAATGGATGCAAAAGATAAGGTTGGATGAAGTGTAGGTGATTCTTTGCTGGATCTGGAAGGATTGTTTGGGGCTTTTGATGGAGGTGAGAGGGGAGATGTGAGGGGCAGCTGTAGCACCTCCTGCAGTTGCAGGGAAAGGTAGGGGATGTGGTGGAGAAATTGGTGGGAAGTGTAGAGCTGACAAGGGAATCACGGAATGAATGGTCCCTACAGAAAGTGGACAGAGGTGAAGAAGGAAATATCTTTTTGGTGGTGGGGTCTGATTGCAGGCGGCAGGAATGTCAGAAGATGATGTGTTGGATTCGAAGGTTGGTGGGGTGGTATGCGAAGACTAAGGGGATTCTATTCTTATTGCTGTTGGGGGAGGGGATTTGAGGGCAGAAGTGCGAGAAATGGAGGAAATACAGTTGAGGAGGGGAATTATGGTCCCTAAAGTAGGAGAATATCTGGGATGTCCTGGAGTAGAACGTCTCATCCTGGGAGCACATACGGCAGAGGTGGAGCAGTTTGCAGTAGGGGATAGCATTTTTGCAGTAGGGTGGGTGAGAGGAGGTGTAGTTGAGGTAGTTGTGGGAGTCAGTGGGTTTGAAATAGATTTCAGTGGTGAGTCGGATTCTGGAAATGGAGACGGAGAGGTCCAGGAAAGGGAGAGACAGTGTTGGAAAGAGTCCAGGTGAACTTGAGGACAGGAGGAAGGTGTTGGCAAAGTTGAAGTGCTCGAGCTCCTCGCAGGAGCATGAGGCCGCACCTATTTTAAAGGCCAGCTGATCAGAGTTTAGGACCAGCATGCTGCTGTCAGGATGAAAGGTAAGGATGGCATGATTCAGAAACTCTGGATGACAAGAGATATTGCAAGTTAAGTCAAAAGGAAAAAGGGGAAGCATGTGTAAGGCTTGGGAAACTGAAATCAGACAAGGCCCTGGAGGAATATAAAGGAAGCAGGAAAGAATTTAAACAAGGAATTAGGAGGGCTATGAGGTGCCAGGAAATCTCCTTGGCAAGTAAGATTAAGGAAAATCCCAAGGCATTGTATGCATATAGTAGAGGCAAGAAGGTGCCTAGGCAAAGAGCAGGACCACTGAAGGACAAAGGAGGGAATTTATGTGTGGAGCCAGAGGAAGTGGGTGAGGTCCTTAATGAGTATTTTTTATCAGAATTCACCAAGGAGAAGGGCATGGATAGTAAGATTGAGGAGGGACATGTTGATACTCTAAAGCATAGCAATACTAAGGAGAAGGTGTTGGGTATCTTGAAAAAGCATAAAGGTAGGTAAGTCCCCAGGGCCTGATGGGATCTATGACAGGATTCTGAGGGAGGCAAGGGAGGAGATTGCTGGGGCCTTAACTGAGATCTTTGTCTTCTCACTAGCCACAAGCAAGATCCCAGAAGACTGGAGAATAGCCAGTTGTTCCTTTGTTTAAGAAAGGTTACAGGGATAATCCAGAAAATTATAGATTTATAAGCCTTTACATCAGTAGTAGGGAAATTATTGGAGAAGATTCTTAGGGGCAGGACTTATTTGCATTTAGAAAAGATTGGACTCTTTTGGGATAGTCAGAAAGGCTTTGTGTGGGGAAGGTCAAATCTCACAAATTTGATTGAGTTTTTTGAGGAAGTCACAAAGATGATTGATGAGGGTAGGGCCATGGATTTTGCCTACATGGACTTTGCTAAAACTTTGACAAGGTCCCTCATGGTAGGCTGGTCTAGAAGATTAAGTCACATGGGATCCACAGTGAGTTGTAAGTTAGATACAGAATTGGCTTGGTCATAGAAGACAGAGGGTGGTTGTGGACGGGCATATTTTCTGACTGGAGGCCTGTAATAATGGAGTTCTGCAAGGATCAGTGCTGCGGGACCTCTGTTGTTTATAAGATATACAAATGATTTGGATGAAAATATAGATGGTCTAATTAGTAAGTTTGCAGACAATGCAAAAATTGTTGGAGTTGTGGATACTGAAGAAGGTTGTCAAAGGGTATAGATCAGTTAGGAAGTTGGGGGGAGAATTAATAGATGGTGTTTAATATGACATGTTTGAGGTGATACATTTTGGAAAGTCAAATGTAAGAGGAAAGTACACAGTAAATGGTAGGACCCTTATGAGCATTGATATACAGAGAGTGCAAGTCCATAGCTCCCTGAAAATGGCAAAATAAGTGGGCAAAGTGATAAAGAAGGAATATGGCACGCTTTCCTTCATCAGTTGAGGCACTGAGCATAACATTGCCGAATCATATTACAACTGTATAAAAATTTAGTTAGGCCACATCTGGAGTATTATAAGTAGTTCTGGTCACTACAGTATAGGTAGCATGTGGAGATTTTGGAGAGGGTGCAAAAGCGGTTTACCAGGATGTTGCCTGGATTAGAGTGTATTAGCTATAAAGAGAGATTGGACAGACTTGGTTTGTTTTCACTATAGCATCTGAGGTTGAGGGGCAACCTGATGGAAGTATTTAAAATTATAAGAGGCATGGATAGAGTAGCTAGTCAGAGTCGTTTTCCCAGGGTGGGAAATACAAGGGGGTTTAAAGTGAGAGGGGGAAAGTTTAAAGGAAATGTGCAAAGAACATTTTTTGCACAGAGGGCAGTAGATCTGGA